AAGAAAGGGCGGTATATTTTTAGGACAATTTACGTCGCTTTCGCAACCTGACGGAGCGCCTATTAAAACCACTTCATCCTTCGGTTCGCACGTATGCCTCTCCGTCTGTACGTGTGTCACAACTCTAAAATGATTGAACTGATTTGTATAAAATTTGATATTGGGAATTTTTCTACTAAAATTTAAATTTTTTTCAAGATCGGGCACAGTTTTACTTGGAGACAAAGGTTCTTTATGAGCGTAAGTGACGAAGCGGGAAGTCCCACCCTTGGAATTATTACATGGAAAATCCCGTGCAATTGAAAAAGGTCAAAGGTTAAATTCTGGCGAACGCGCCAAAATTGTTACACTACGCCTCCATCATCAGGGTGATGAGTAAACCGCGCACAAGAGCGAGCAGCAAGCACCTCTGAAACGTCGGTAACGTTCTACCAGACTACACAGCGCAATAACCCAGAAGATGGCCACATCATTAATTTATCTTGTTTTCATAACCGATAAATGAATCATACCTCCATATAGAACAACTAATAAATAAATGGCACTTTTTTGAAAATCTCCCACCGCGCGAGGATTATTGTATTACAGGACCATTCAGGAAAATGTGTTTTCATTGTGTGTATGTTAAGCACAAAGGCTTAGAAAAATTTCAACGTGTATTAGTTAGCACATGACAGAACACAGGCAATAATGAAACGTAAAATATAACGCAAAATAAATACATAGTAACAGTATTACATGTAAAAGACTAAACATAATGGAGTAATGCAAATATTAATAAATGGATATTTTAAAATATTAGTTGACGAAAATTGCTGATTGCTCACTGAATAGTGTGGGGTAATGATCGTAGCACGAATATGTAATGAAAATAATGTTGTGATTTGCTCAAAGGAATGCGATAGTTGCTTTTTATCGACAAAACATCTTCTTGCGAGTCTAGTCCTTGATCAGAAACGTTCAGTTCAACTCTGAACGTGGCAGATTCATCATTCCAATATCCATGAACTCAGAAGTCACTAACAGAATGTTATTTGCTTTGGAACACTTAAAAGTCATCTAACCCGTGAAAATTGATTTTTGGACTTCGTCTATCGTATAAATTACATATAGAAATAAGAATACAACATTTCGGAGGCTGGATCTTCTTACCAGAGAGCCCAGCAGTTTATGTTCTTTTTACTTGAAGACAGAATAAGATTCAGCTTTCAAAACGTCGTATTTTTATTCATATTTGTAATACATAATATGGGCAAAAAAAAAAAAAAACATTATTACGCACCACCGTCAGAATCTTCAAACTCCATCACCTAACCCGATCCCGAAGTCCGTTGCAATCTCCTTATATAGGCCTATAGACCGAGCGAAGAATGGCAGAAAATGAGATCTGAAGTTTCAAGTTCGCGCTCTGTTACAAAAAGTTCGAAGAGGGAGGACAGTGTGCTTTAGCAGTCGTTTGTACAAATTAGGTCCAGCTACACGTTTTGTACTTACCGGTAGTTAACAAGAGAGAAATCGATTGATCGATGGATGCACCAGGTCTGTGTCCTTGCCTATTTATAAAGGCTCAAGTCTTCAGTTTTAATGACCGCTACTGTGTGCTTGTTTAGAAGAACTCACTTCAGTAAGGGGGAAACACTTCAAGTCTTCGAAACACTGATTTTCTTTGTTATACAATACAATAGATTTTTACCCCACACCACAATCACAAAAACAACTAAAGCAAAACTGATTTTAATTTTTAATAAGCTTAGAGCTTTGATTTCCAAAAATACAATAAGGGTAAACAACACATTGCGCTGTATTTAATAAAACGTCAAATTCTTCATGTATCATATAATATTTTTTCAGTCACTACGCATTGTTGTACCGCTTCGATTGTGTACTGACAGATACTGACGATCGGTTGTTGTTGCTACCGGAGACGCGGGTAGACATGTTCACTTTCTGTCGACTGTGTACT